CCTTCCTTCCTTCCTTCCTTCCTTCCTTCCTTCCTTCCTTCCTTCCTTCCTTCTTTCTCTCTCTCTCTTTCTTTCTTCTTTCTTTCTTTCTGAAAAATTAGAATAAGAAAATCTATCCTCTGACATCACGAAGTTTTTCCAAGAGGAAGCAATATAGTACACAAAAATGTTTTTGCAAGCTATAAAAAGTTTAGCAAAATATGGAAGTGAATCGTAATTTCTATTAGACAAGGAAAGTCTTCAGGTGTGGCCCCTGCGAGCAATCCTCAGCCCTCCACGGTCACTCTTTCCTCCCCTCCCTTCCTGCTTAACTGCATCGCCCACCTCACCCCCCTCCGTGTGCAGCAAAGAAGGCTCCAGCCCACTGCGAGAGAAATGACAGAAAGAAGGCCATTAAAAGTAACAACAGAAGTAGAAAAGGAAAAGAGAGGCTATGTTCTCTAACTATAATAATATTATTCTTAAAACGTTTTGCTTAACAGGCTTCTGAGATGTCTGAGATCATCACATTTTTATCACTCTATTGATTAAGAACAAATAACCGTTATTAACAGTGGTTTCTCTGGGGGTGAGATTACAGGCATCTTTAGTTTCTCACGTTATGTATTTCTAAATTGTTTTAATTTTGTTAAAATGGGCATGATTTGCTTATACATTCTGAGAAAAAAGATAGTTCAAGCTTAAGGGGGGAAAAACAAGGACTCTGGATTAGTTAAAATACACATTGAAGGGAATTTTCTCATGTAGAAAAATCATGCTATCTCCAGAATGACAATGGTTAAGAGATATTCTAATAAGACAATCACATAATGCTGGTGCTTTTGGAGGTAAAACCTTACTTATGACGCGACTTGGTGATTCGATTGGTTTATGCTGTAGCTGTTCTTCCCCCCACCCCTGTCTACAGGCACTGCCTTGTTATCTGCCGTTGCTTTCCCCTTGGGAGATTTCTACACAGCCCGCGGCCACGGGCCCCACAGCATGCCAGCGGAGGCGCGGGCCGGGCTGTTTCACGCAGCGCTGCTGGCCCTGGGCCTGGGCGCGGGAGGAGTCAGGGCCATCGCCTGCCCTCTGGGCGCTTGCAGCCTCCAGGAGCATGGCCCACAGAAACCAATGTCTTGTTTGAACTGGTGAGTAGCACAGGTTGGGACAGAAACAAGGTTGAGGGCATTCCTCTCCCTCTGGGGGTTCCTCATTGTTTGCTCTGTGGTGCCATTCTGACGGGAGCTCAGTCTTCCCATCGGTTGGGGTAGGGAGTTCACAGTGTGACCATGCCGGTGACAGTGACTCAGTCACTAACAGCAGGAACCTGAGCCCGGTTAAGAGCAACTCAACTTACCAGCACTTTCTGGAAACACTGATAAACGAATCCTCTAATAAGTACACAAGTGTAAATTGGCTTCACATCTTGAATACAATGTGGCTTTGGAATCAAGCAGGCCCGGGGGGGATGTCTCACCTCCATTTAACACAACTGCCTGACCTCGGTCAAGCCATTTATTCTTTATAAGCTTCAGTGTAATCATTTCAGAAGGGTTATAATAATACTTCTTCTTGGGTTTTATTAGAGGTAATAATGGGTATATTGCCAAGAGAGAACCTGGCACACAGTAGGTGATCAATAAGCGGTAGCTATTATTATTATTCTATTGGATTAGACTAATTTGACAGGGATTATACATTCAGAGGGCAAAGAAGAGAGAAAATGATAAGGACAGAAGTATGGTAGAGTTTTTTAAACCATCAACCAGTACCTCTGTTTGCATCCACTGTGCCCCCGTCATCTAAAAGAGTTTGTACTCCCTGAAAACCAAACCGCCTCTCTATGGGTCTCTGCCTCTTCCAATGAGTTCTTATACAGTTTTATGTGGTTTTAAGGAACCAATTTTTATTATCAAATAAAAAAATTTTAAAAACTGAAATTTTGATCTTAAGGTAAAGCATGTCAGCATTTAATAGAGAATTTTGTTGTTTTTATCCTTAGTCATCAGTGGGTGTCAAACAGATCTGAGATACATTAAGTCTTTTATTCACATTTTTCTGTGAAATGGGTTGTCAACATTTTTCTAAAATAGTCTGTCTTTCCAAAGTTAACAATGGATAATGTTAGCAAAAGATAAAGCAATTAAATGAAAAAAAACGTTAGCTAGGTAAATACAGCTATCCAAGGCAGTTAGCCTCTCTCTCCCTCTCTCTCTCTCTCTCTCTCTCTCTCTCTCTGTCTCTCTCTCCCCCCCCCCCATTCTCTTCCTCTCTCTCCCCCTTTCTCTCAAATCAGTAAATAAAAATTAAAAAAAAATTCTTGACAACTCCTCCAGTGATAAGATTATCCTGATGTCATGATGAGTTTCTTCCACTGACAGGGAGTTCTGATTTTTAGAAAGGTGTGTTAGAAAGGCATTTGAATTACAGTCCTATAATTTTCACCTATTTGTTGTAAATTTGCCCGTTGGATATAATTCATCTTTGATTAACTTTATTTCTTTATTAAACAGCCATATATATTCAGTCCCTACTCTGTGCTGGGTACTTTGATAGGTAATGGGGCTATGGAAACTTAAAATCAGCAGTCTCAACCTTCAAGGATCTCAANTGGATTAGGTCCAAATGTCAGAGAATCATGCAGTTTCACCAAAGGTGGAAGGAACACTTCACTTCTTTATAGCAAATTCTGCCTCCTCAACCTGCCCAAAGGAGAAAGAAAAATCCTTTTTTAAAAAAATTCTATTCGGAAGTTTTAATCCTTAATTAGCAACATCATTTTGATTAAATAAGACTCTGGAGGATTAAGACTGGAGAGCAATCAGTTGTTCTGAAAGATAGCTCTGGAGAATTTATTGTACCGTGGTCTCAGTCATTGAGTTGTGTTTAATCAAAGTGACATTTCTCAGTGTTGATTACAAAGGAGACATTATATGAATGAAATATTTCCCTGGGGAAATGGAGGGGACTCCCAATGGGTTTGTGCTTTAGAACTTTGCAAAGGGGGGTGGGAATGGGGTAAAAATGAATTTCTGCAGCTGTGTGGAGCCAGACCAAATTGAGGATGAATACACTTTGATTTGGTTACCTATTTTTCCTAATTTCATTAAAATCTCTAACAAGAAGAACCATTCAGCATTTTTAAAACCTCAAGTTAAAGCACCTTGAAATGTGTATAAAGCTCCTTAAAGGCCGAATCTGGTTGTTTCTGCTTCTCAAAAAAATTTGTTTAGTTTAAACACTAAACTACAGGGTAATTTTTTAAGAACAGCTGTGTGTTGCAGTTTATAGAAATGAATGATAACTATTCCTGTAAATATAGCAGGGGTTGGTGGCAAGACTGACAGAGACCCCATTGGGCAGCCAGGCAGCTGGCAAGATCCTGGCTCTGTCACTTAGGAGTTTCATGGTTTTCAGCAAGTTCCTTAACCTCTCAGAGACCCAGGTCTCTCATCCACAAAATGGGAATACCTTGGAGGGCTATTGCACAGCTTATATATAAAGTATCCTAGCACATTATAGGTATTCAAATCAAAATAGTGATTACTATTATTATTAAATGACAAATAAACCATCAGCTGAAATCATTGTCTAAATTCCAGAAAAGAGAAACCCATTTAAGAGGGGGCTATCCTTCAAATGGGCAGCCCATTCACTTGTAATCTATTTCTCTGAGTGAAAAAAGCCTCTAGAAATTACAAGCCTGATTAATATAATGAATGTCAGTAGCATCTTTAAAAAACAACACACCCCTGGAATCTATAACCCCTAGAAGGCCTCATCCAGTTCTGTTTTCAGCACAGATGTCAGATGTTCATAGTTACAAGACCTTTAATGAGATGTGTCATTGTATCTACACCACCTAAAACTTCCCAGTGATCATGTTAAATGGTGTAGACTGCAAGTTTCAGGCACTGAAAGCACCACTTCCTAGGAGAGCTGCCAAATGTAGGTGAGTAAAGCCACTCCCAGCCAACATCACCATCTGGTACTGGATCTTCCTCAGCATTGTACCTCATTGAAATCTGCCAACATCCTTGCACCATGACCCAAATCAGAACCAGGCTCTTTCAGCATTTTCCAAAATCTGAGGTGTACAATTAAGAGTCACCACACTGGAGATCATCTAGGTAAATACACTTGTGCAGAATCTTTTTTTCCTCTCAATTGAATTTATTAGGGTGACATTGGTTAATAAAATTATATAAGTTTCAAGGGTACAATTCTATAATACGTCATCTGTATATCGTATTGTGTGTTCACCACCCTAAGCCAAGTTTCCTTCCATCACCATTTATTTCCCCATTACCCTCTCATACCTCCCCCAAGCCCCCTTTCCCTCTAGTAATCACCATCCTGTTATCTGTCTGTGAGGGTTGTTTTTTTGTTTTGCTTTGTTTAGTTTTTCTTATTCTTTTCACTTTTTTTTACCCAGCCCCCTTACCCTCTCCCTTCTGACAGCTGTCAGTCTGTTCTCTGTGTCTATGAGTTTTTATTTTGTTTGGCAGAATCTTCTCTGGAAGCAAAAAAGAAGGTGGATAATTAAACCTGTTCATGACCATCATTTAAAATTCTACCACACCTTCAAACCTTGCTTCCATATTTCTCGACTTACTTGACCTGATAATTTACATCACATTTGGGTATCAGTCTGTTGCTAACCAGTTATCAGAGTGAATCATACATGATTTAAAAAGCCAAATATAACATTGGTAAAGGTCTTGAAAAAGTCTAGAGACTTACTCCATTCCACAAATGTTGAATATCTAATACTCAAATGGACCCTATTGGATGTCTGTCTCATATTAAAATGTTCTGATTTTAATACTTACTTACTAAAATGTAATATCTTTTATCTTAGGGAAACGCGAGAGGGAAAATTTTATTATCTCACAGCATTTTTCCAGAAGCAGTTTTAATATTCACTGAGTGTTGTTTGAGAGCCTCACCCCCAACCCCTTAAATCAGAATTTTCTGGCAACATTGTTAAGAAATGTACATTTTTAGCAAGTGCTTCAGGATTTTGAAAACAGTTCCAGAGACATAAGGAATGGGGATTCCAAATGTAGGCTAGAGATAGCTTTGAAAAGAAATAGAACTAAACATTGAGTGAACGACCCTAATGTACAACCAGACTGCTTTGGAAATTTTGATGATTCATAGTAACTTTTCACATTTTAAAATCTACCCGATTGAGAAATCCTACATAATCCTTGAGAAAAGCAACAAAATATGAATGTGCAAACATTCTGCAATAGTAAAGTCATAATTTATAAGGTACACTTCAGCCAACAAAAATCAAAGCAGTTCATGGAATAGTCGTAATACTCATGGTTACTCAAAATATCCTCTGAGTTGCATAATGAAGAATAGCCTATAAATTGCTTTAAAAAAAAAAATCACTAAACCTTCCAAAATTGCATGGGCTCTGACCAAGTTTAACAAATGCTTCTCACTTACCCTAATAACAACAGGCATCCCCTCCTTTAGCTCTGCCAAAATTGTAAGCTCTCAGGAAATTCACTGAGAAGTTCTCTCCAACATATAACTGTGGAAACCAAAGAACATTGAGGGGGGAAAAAAAGACAAATTCCTTATATTTCTTACTGGTCCTGCTGCCTCCTGCCTTTTCTTAAGCTCTGCTTGGTAGTTTTTAAGTTTGGTAGGTACATGAGGAGGGACTTACGTTCATCAGTAAACATGAGATGGTTCAAAGGTCTTAAACTCAGAAAATGAGATACATAAATAACTGTTAAAATGGGTGTGTTGGCATCCCTATGTTCATTGCAACATTACTTACAGTAGCCAGGATCTGGAAACAGCCCAGGTGCCCATCAGTAGATGAGTGGACAAAAAAGCTGTGGGACATTTACACAGAGAAATACTACTTGGCTATATATATATACACACATACCTTTTGCAACAGCATGGATGGACTGGAGATTATTGTACTAAGTGAAAAAAGCCAGTCAGAGAAAACAATGAAAAACAAAGACCATATGATCTTACTTATATGTGGAATCTAATGAAAAAATAAGCTGACAAACAAAATAGAAGCAGAGGCATGGATGCATGGAACAGACTGACAGCTGTCAGGGG